TCCCTATAGGAAATATAAGTCTCGTCTTTGGAAAACAAAACTTTTAATTATTTGTAAACTAGTGTTACTTATTAACAGTTCCTTTATTGCCAAAAAATAAAATGCAAGATTATATTGTTTGATTTATACATACATATCAAAAAATCAAAACAATGACTTGCAGTGTTAAGTTCCAGGATCGGTCAAATAAAAGTTCCGAAATAACCGTGGTGACTGTGTGAGTTACAGGATGATGAAAGCTTAGATAGGTGAAACTAGTAAGCGTCAATGTGAAGGAATCTGGCCAATTGAATATGAGTGTTATGATATGACAACAGATGGGTTCCGTCATTAAACGTAGTGCTCAGAGCTGCATTCAGACATTTAATGTAAATCTCATTCGAATATACTTCTTTTGAGAAAGCGTAAATCGCTTACAAGAGATAGAGAGCTAATATTTAGGTTTGTTACAACTACGAACTCGAGAACTTCAAGTTTGAGTCTTGAGAGAACGGAACAAAAGCATAGAACATGTCGTTGGCGTCCAAGCAAAGTACACATGAGTTGCTGTCAGCAAAATCAAGACGAAAGAGATGACCAGTGGCTCGGCACACAAGAAATTAATTCCCAATCTGATTTCAGAAACATTGTGATTTCTCTATATAATATTTGATTCAGATTTGTTTCCATGAATAGGATTGGATTTAGACAATCCCACAATTAAATGCGGTCGACAACGTACCGTAGTAGAACTGGTTTTCAGGAGTTCGTCCTCTATATAGTACATGACTATATCTTAAACTTAATTGGACTAGAATGCTAGCTATCTATTCTTTCAAGTTACCAAGGGAAGTTCCTCACTCTGAAACTATGAAAATGACAATTGTATAAGTTGGTGATACGAAGGTACTATATTAAGGTACTGTGATTAGACCGCGAAAATCACAGGAATCGTTATACTAAGAGATACGTTAATACGTTAAAACCAAATTGGCATTATTTAAAACTATGTTGTAGTTTTGATATATTAACCCCATCTTACAATACAATACTACTGGACTAAACACTACGCTGCACTTATCTCTAAAGCTGAATGGAAAAATATAATATATTAAATAAATTTTTAAGTAGATATCAGTTATTAGATATTAACAATAGTAACATAACAATGAGATAGATTGTTTCTGAAAGCTTTCTTGTTCAAATATTTCCCTCTCTAGCAGTGTTCAAAAGCTTCGAGAAGAAAATTCTAATTGTGTTGTGTTGAATGCATGTTGCAGTCACTTCGACAACGGTGAACATTGAGCATCGATGAGGTCAGACAAGTAAAACGTCGTCGGAACGTATTTTGTAGAATTTTTTATTTTTGTTTTAAGTTTAAGTTTCTAGTAAGCAAAAATTAGACAAAATTAAATTAATTAAAATTTTTGTTAAATCTGTTTGGATATCTTGCATAAGTTTCATTGAATTATGAAGAAAAAAAGAACTAAATGGGAGAATTATTGTGATTTTGTGGCGGGTTGCTTCGGTGGTAAGTGATGAAGTTCTAGTGAACTCTTCAACGTCTATAAATGTCTTTGTATGTATGGTTGTTTGTATATCAATCTTTGTGTTAAGAAAATGTGCTGCAACTATTTCCGTATTCCCTTCTCTCTGTGGGTGATGTAACCATAAATATTCCTACCACTCACATGTATGCCAATAGTTCAGTTCATTCAACCACATCGCTTCTCACACACTTAGTCACTCAACTGCACACAATTTTTCTCGGCCGCATTGAACGGTGCGCGATGTCCATGATCTTTCTTTCGATTCCCAATTTGTGTGTCTTCACTCGTAGTGTTTGGCATTTTGGCACCTGTTTCAGAATCAACAAACAAACAAGTGGCAGACGAAATAAGCATTTCAACATATGGCATAAAATACATTTTGTAAACATTTTTATTTTTGTTTTTTGGCATAATTTTAATATAGTCCAAATTTTTATATCTTTTGGCGAAAGGTGCATGCGGTGTCTTAGTAGGGCATCCATTGGACACGATCAAAACATGGCAGCAAGCTTCAAACACTTCTGTGCCAAGTGCAATGCGGCAAATTTATCTGCGGAATAATGGCGTAAGCTAGGAACTCCCATAAAGCGTAGCATACATATATCCATAAAAATATTTCTACTTTTTCATAGTTCAACGGTTTCTACAGGGGTATGTTCTTTCCGTTCGTAACCACAGGTGCCATTAACTCAATACTTTTTGGTATATATGGAAATCACTTGCGACAATTGCGTCACGTATGCCACAGCGACTACCAACGGGAGCAGTTAGAATATCAGAACATGTTTGTTGCGGGTTCCATAGCAGGGTTCGCACAATCTTTTATTGCTTGTCCAATTGAACTCATAAAAGTTCGCCTACAGACCCATTGCTGTAAGTTTTTATTTACTATGTACTACTCTTCTTCTAGGTAATTTGTCTACATTCTTCTTATAGTTTATAACGAATACGTTTATGGCATGCGACGTACTCCATGGGGTATGTTCAGAAAAATCGTACAGACTGATGGTATTTCCGGTATATATCGGGGATTAGTACCAATGATGTGCCGTGATGTGTTTCCATATGGCATATATATGCTAGTTTACCGCCAAACTGTGGACTATTTGAACACAACAGAATTCGTACGAAAACGTCAGGAGCGGCGTCTACTTAAAGAAAGTGGAAATGTAGATTTTCTTGTGACTACATTAGCTGGTGCCTGGGCAGGAATTCTGTCATGGGTATGTGTTATACCGTTCGACGTGGTGAAAACAATTATGCAGGCCGAAGAGAATCGTCAATATCGTAACATACGTCACTGTTTGGTCAAGAATTATAAGGTAAGAGCATCGGTCATAGGTTTCTGTCGGTGATTGTTTTTTGACTTTAAATTATTTTTTTTCATTGCTTAGTTATATGGATTACGTCGTCTGTTTCGCGGTTCATGGATGCTGGTTGTTCGCGCAATACCTTTTAATGCAGCAACTTTTCTCGGTTACGAGTACGCATTGGAATGGTGTCATAAATTGAATGACTCATACATTTAAGTTTCTCAATTAACAACATCAAAATACAAAAATATATTGATTTTTCAAAGTTCTTTTTATTTAAAATAATTATTTAATTTCCAAAAAATGACAAATTGAATGTATTTAAATTATTTAAAAGCTAAGTTGTGTGTCGTTGGTTTCCATGTCGCTAAGCCCACCATTTGACGTATGGCAATAATTATATGTATAATTTTATACAAATATATATTTTGAGTCAGATCAGAAGAATTTTTACAAGCAAGTCAATAGAGCAGGCCTGAAAAGAAGCATCAGTTAACGACTTTAAGTGTTAATTAGATCATGATGAAATTGTTTGCATCGATGGTTCAATAGTTCCAGTCGAGCTTTGGAGCTTTAGAATTAGTTACGTAAATTTAATTCTCTTCTTTGATATTGATATGAAGATTTTTAAATTTGTGTATAACGTTTTAATCGTTTAATATAGGCTGACCAAGAAAATGAATGTTTTTTTAGAAATTGGTAGGCATCTCCCAAAGTAGGCTATAACCGCATTACCGTAAAAAATAAAGAGTCCACTTTCTATGTCACTCTCAATATTTGTCCTGTCTCCGTCCGGTTTTAGATGAAAAGTGTGTATTCCGTTTAGATGTGCCTACTTCGTAATTCTCTTATTGTGATGAATTTATATGTTTATTAAATTCAAAATATGAGAAAAATGTTTAAAAAATTTGTTTCTATAAGTAAATAAAACTATCTGCGTTGATGATGATCTATTCTATTTTATATATAAAATCTTAGTATTTCTAAAAATCCTGTAAATCATATTTTTGTTGTGACGGTTCAAATAAAATTTGGGGTCAAATATTTCTTGATATATCTAATGTGGAAATAGTTTAAAATATTATGTTGGTAGCGTGCAAAAAGTATTTAAAATCTATTGTCTACGTGAGACATTGATAAGTTAGATGTTGTCGTGGTAACATTAAATCAAGTTAGTTCGTTATCTATTATAATGTCATGATTTAGGAAAACTATATTTCAGTTTCTTTTGATATTCTATCAAAAATATGATATTCTGTCTCTTTTTATTTAATTCAAAGCAATCCTAAACAAAATCAGCTAACTTGAACCTTGACTTATCCAGCGTCTTCACTGGATTGACCTTGGTAAGATTTTTGAATACAGTTTCTGTTTTTCACAAACAAAAAAATTTATTATGAAAAAATTATTTATGCCCCTTAATGCATAATTATTTGACGGAAATGTTTTATTATGATATATGACCTGTGATGATCTCACAGGTAAGCGCTAATTTATATCTGCATAACAAAATTTAGATTTTTTTGTGTAGTAACTTTTGTTAATACAATTTACTATTCATAGAAAATTTTCAAATCCTTATTTCTAGGAAATAAAATTACATACATAATATATATACAGTGTTGATATTATATATATATATCTAATGTAACCCCTCATCGCAGTTGTTTATTGACCTTGAAAATGTGGAAACAAATCTTTTTATATATCACAATAAAACGTTTCTACCCAATGATTAATTTTCAATGTAATTAATTAATTTTTTTTCCATAATTTAAAAGGATTTAATTTGGAACAGATTGTGAACATTGCTGGGTACTTGAATGTATTATTATCAGGAAGTTGTAATTCGCTACAAAATACAACAATAGATATTGTTGACAGTTTTGACAAACTGTCATGATATTAAAACAATTTTTTTTACTATGAATTACACCACTATTATTTGATTTTACACAAATTGTGCTCTAAATATAATACTCTGTATTTTATATTCAAACAAGATAATATTTTTAACATTCCTTTAGAAACTATTTAAATTCTATTAAAATTTTCATTATGCTACATCTACTTTACTTTAGTTTGTTCGCATATTCGAAAAAACATTTTGACATTTCGAACTGTAGAGTAGAATGAGTGATTTGTATTTGTGTACTCTTCAGTTATTATTGACTCACGGAAAACGATAGTTCATTTGCGGAGCGTTTGTACTTGAAGAAAATAGTTTGTTTTATTTTGCTTATTAGTAGCTTAAACAGCAATTAAGTGTTTATTGTTGTAAAAATATGCTAAAAAAACTTGGTATAGATGAAAGAATAATGTTTTGTGTTGCCAAATTAAATTTAATTTTGCAAAGTTTTGTGCATGATTTGTCGTAGCGTTTGGAAGTGCCCGAGAAGACATTGCGTGACATCACAATAAAATAGCATCATTGCTAATGTGTAAAATGTATACAAAATAATTTAAAAGTGAATACGAAAAAAAAATACAAATTTCAATTTTAATAATGTTTAAAATATCATGCAAAAATAATAATTGTTAAATATGAGCTCAACATGAAATATGAGTGTTAATTTTCTAAGCTTAAATAATGAAAAATTCGGCTGCTCCACTTCTAAAACGAGAGAACGCATCAAAAAGGAATAATGAAAAATAAGGCCAACGTCGTATCAGTAAACAACAACAATAACTAAATAACGCAAACAAAATGAATTGAAAAAATAGTATCAAAAACACAACGTAGTAACAATTTAGTTCTTTTGTTTTTCGATTTGATTAGTGCTTAGTTATATTAAAAAAAAATAAAAAAAAAATCATCACAAGTGAAATTTTTTTACGCAGAAAGTGGCGCCTTTTTAGTTGAGATTTTTTTTTATTTATGCGACAAGTGCGTGTATGTGCGTGCATACGTTATTAATTTCTACCCGACCGCCACCCTCAACAGCACCGGAATTCTAAATATAAAAATATTTAGATTTTTTTACCCTTTGCGGAACACGGCAAGCCAAACATCCCTTAATGTTCCATCAAATAGAAAAATAAAAAAAATTCCGTAAACAATGTCGTCGTTGAAGGTTGCCGTGCGGGTTCGCCCGTTTAATGCCCGGTTCGTACTTTGAATTTTTCACTTATTTATTTAAACATTTCCACTTATTTATTCTATTTATTTATGTATTCTATTTATTTATATATTTATATATATTCTATTTACATTTTTAATTATAGTATGTACAGCTGTTTTATTTAGTTAGTAAGTACATGTTTTGTCTTCAGTTCTTGAGTGAATTTCTATAGCGTCAAAATTTTTAGGTCTTGCCCTATTATTTGTTTCTAGTATTTATTTTTAATAAATAAATAAAGAAATTTAGAGCATGATTGTTTATTTCTAATAATTTAGTTCCAATTTTAACATATTTAGTATTTATTAAAGGTTTTATTGGTATTAATATTAGTTGTTTAGTAGGGTTGGCAGCAGTAGCTAGCGTTTCGGTGGCAACTCTATCCTAGCTAAAATGCTAATCCAATATAATATCATGTCTTATCATGTATCCATAATGGCTTAGTTGTTGTTGTTCATGTTAACCAGTTCCTCTAGTTGATATACAACTCGCTTATCTAAGATAGTTAGCAGATTCTACGTGGCAATTATATAGAGCAGGGCTGTCCAGACCAGATGCGATCGCGGACCAATACAAATCACTATAAAGATTGGAGGGCCGCAGAAACAAATACATACGTTCATAGTTGTTTTCGATAAAAATAAACATACGGTTATAATTTAAATTTAGTTATATTAATTTATCAATAATTTTATTTATTTGGTATACCATAAAAAAAATAATGTAGTTTTACCAGTACACCAAAAGAAATTTTCGTAGTAGATTAAAAACATGTCACGGACCGCTCAAACATTAGACGAATGTGGCCTGCGGGCCGTGCTTTGGACAGCTGTGATATAGAGCACACTTTATAATCTATAGAGTTTTTTAAAAAGTATTAATATTTTAATAATTTTAATATTAAATATTAATATTAATAAATAATAAAAATACTGATGATGAGTACTTAGCAACTAGAAAATATTAATAAAATTTCAAATTTTCATATTTAAGAAATTTTGATAAATTAAATATTATTAACAAAAAGATTTTGTTACATATAAATGAAAGAGTTTGATAAATGTTGCAAATATTAATCGCAATGTCTGACCAAATTCTATATAACATAATGCTGGTATGAGTTCGATGCTGCAATGTCTTGACTATATGATAGATGTATCGAAATTTTATTTTTAAGTGCACTCAGTTGTTGCTTAGACACAAAGCGCATATTAGGTCTGACAGTGCCATGAGAAATATTAGCCTCGTTTATATAATTTAGAATTGCTATTTTGTTTAAAGGACTGTAGTTAATAATTACTAAATATACAGTCAGTAAGTTTTTTAGTATTTAGAATTTTACATAAGTGCTTTTCGTATTCGATAATTTTATTCGATAACTTTTTATTCGTATTCGATAATGTGCAACACATATCTTGACAATTTATCAAAAAATAAGCTTTTCATTTATGGTACCGAATATTAAAACTTTGATAAATTGTCAACCTTGATAAATAAGCAAGATGGCGAATTTATCAAGTACACAGAATAGGGGGGCTGTTGTAAAGAAAAGAAATGGTCGTGTAAACAAGTGTTAACTTAAACTAGTGTTTACTTAAACTAGAGTTCTCTTAAACCAGTCTTCACTTAAACTAATGTTTAATTTAATCATTGTTCATATAAACAAGTGTTCATTTAAATTAGTGTTCACTTATATAAGCGTTCACTTACACTACTGTTTACTTATATTAGTGTAAACTAGTGTTCACTTAAACTAGTCTTCACTTAAACTAGTCTTCACTCTAACTAGTCTTTACTTAAACTAGTCTTCACATAAACTAGCCTTCAATTAAACTAGTGTTCACTTATTCTAATGTTCACTTAAAACAGTGTACACATTTTCTAGGTAGTACTCATTTTATACTTAATTATGTTATAATAATTGATTTCTTTAGTTGTGAAAAGTACTTCGATCTGTACTCTGTTCGACTTTTTTTAATAACACGGGTTTGTTGTCAGTTCGTTACCACTAGAGTGCGCTATGGTTGTTGTGATGATGTTTTCGTCACACTACTTCATTTCCTATCTTCTTCCATTAAAAAATTTTTCGTGCTGAAAGTTATTAATTATTTATTTCTATTGTCTTCCACGCTTAATTATACTAGAAGAGTCCAGTAATTTGCCGCTGAATGAAGATTTTTCGTTATTTTCATCAGCCAAACGCAGTCAGTCAATGACAGCAGTCGTTCGTAAGGGTGAAGCAAACAGACCAAATCAAATTTGCCAATTTCCAAATTAAAAACACATCATTTCATTGCAATAAATAAGCGAAATTTTTTCCATCTACAGTCAGTCTAACAACATTGCGAATCTAACGAACCAAAATGAATGACATCATAACCGACTTCACAAGAGCAACCAACACTAAAATTATTACTTTTTTTCCTGCATTTTTTTTATTTTATTTTTTTTTATAATTTTTTTATAATTTTTTGCTGCTTTCTGTAAACTCGGGAGCTCATCTCCAAACGATTTTCGAGAGCTCAATTGTTCGAGAGTTGCCATTGCCATTAAAAAAAATTAAGTATTTTTTTGTTTGGCTTTCAATTTGTTTAAGTTTTGAGTATGAATTTTGTATAGTTTTTTTTCTTTTATTTTATTATTTTATTTTTTTTATTAACTTACTTTTTTGCATTTAGTAAATAATTGCTATTTTGAATGCGGCCATTAGGAAATATCTTTACGTTAAATGTTGTGTTAGCGCTCTCGTAGACTTTTTGAACATTTATTTGTTTGTTCGCAGAAATCGTTTTGAGAAAACCACTAAAATTCCTTTTCCAAGTTATTTTTTCTTTAAGAAAAAGATTAAGAAATCAACAAAGCGTAACAAGTTGAACAAGTGAACGGCTTTTTACTCAAGAAATTATTCATAACATTATAAAAAAAAGCTGGTTTTGCGTAATTACTTTTAGTTAAATTAGATTTTAATTTAAATGAAAAAAATTTGAAACTAAAAACTACTCATTTCGGTGTGACGTTACCTCCGCGCTTCACAATCTACACGTTTTTATCTAAATATACCTATGACACATAGAGCAGTTTTTAAAAATGTTCGTAGGTACAGGGTAAAGTTTTCATGTACGTTCCAAACTTGTTTTAAGTAAATTTATGAGTTCTTTTTAAAATTAAAAATAAATTGGTGTAAATCTTTTATTCTTATATCTTGAAAATTTACTTCATACAAAACCGCCAGATAGAGCAACATTGTTCATTGTACTCCTAGGGTACCGTTTTAGGTGTTATATTAGAAATGGAGTTTTTCGCCTCTTTGATAATGTAAAAGGAAACTTTTCTATTTCTACGTTTCTCTTTTCTTATATTTGCAATTGACAGTTCTATACTTTTTTCTTTTTTGAGTTAGAGACATTATAACTAATCTCTTTCACAAAAAACTAATGTCTTTGCATTGTTTAATTCTATAAGTCCTGGTACCATATAATTTTATAATCGCCAAGCTAGATGTTAGGTGCTTTTCATTTAGATTCTTACATAGACGTCTTTATTTAAGAGGCTTTAGCAAGATTTTATAAATATCTTGTAAGAAATAGCTTATAACTAACTCATTTGAGTACAAATAATAACCAGTTGTGGTACGGCCAGTGAATATTATCTATATGCTAAACCTGATATACCGACTTAAAGGTAGAATTTTAAAATATCTAGCTCGTGAACAGTATTCTTTTAAAAATCTATTTGACTAGAAGGGATCCAACCTGACAAGTCTATAAACTTAGCTACGTTCTTTATATTGAAACTTTGTCAGATCAGTAAGAAAAGTGTCGTCAAATGTTTTGAATATTCTCTTCGCCAATGACGGGCATTGAAACAAGAGGTAGAGTACAATTACCTCTTCAGTTTTCTCTTCAGCTTCGGAGCCAATAATCGTTAAAAGATAACTCATGTCTTATTTTATGTTTTTCTAATACACAGTGGTCTGTCAGTACCCATACCGTACTACTGAAATGGTTTTTTTTAGTTGGAGCAGCTGACAGACGCGAATTTTGTGTTTTTCATGTTCAATTGTTAGGTTGGCCGTTGTAAGAGAGCTACTACTATTTAAGAATTAAATATCAGAGAGTGCTATAGCGTGAGAAGCTGATGATTAAAGTTTTAAGAATTGTTTGGATTGCTCCCAGAATAAACATCACTGTTTGAGAAAATAAATATAAAAAGTAGACTTAAGAAAAATAGCCAATCTATATCTCACTTATTTTGGTTAAGTAACGATACAATCAAAAAACTTGCACCAACTAATTGAAAAGTTCAAATTAAAAGAAAGTAGATAATGAAGGAGATCATCTATTCTATAGGTAAGTCCATCGGAACTTATCTACGTTTAGATGATAAATTGAACGGCAGTAGAACATGAGGAAGATCGTGTACTCGATAGGTCGATCTATTGCAACTTTTCTCGATGAAAAATATTGCAATAACTGATTTTAGTGGATTTTTTTAACGGAACTAGAATAGGAGGAAGATCGTCTACTCGTTAGGTGGATCTATTGCAACTTTCTGCGATTAAGAACCCCTTGCAACAACTAGTTTTAGAGCATAAATTGAATGGAACTAGAATAGGACGAATATCGCGTTATACAACTACTGGGATTTATAACGCGATTTATAACACGCTACTACGACCTGTCAATTATATTCTATATACAAAAAAGAAGTTTCTATATAGAATAACATAGAAAAATAGCATCTTTCTTTATTATAGTAAATGAAAATGCCCAGTTTGAACAGCTATTTTGCAAATTGAGATATTCCATTTCATTCTTATAAACAAATGTCAGTGTGAAACCATTAAAGAATAGTATTTAATAGTTGTCCACTTCTGTTTTTGGTTTCCCTTCCATTGAGAATGTTAAATTTGCATATCAAGGAGCTCATTCCACTTGATCGTCACAGGTGAATAGTTTCGAATGGAAAATCTGGCATACGTTAAACT